TATAAATAAAATTTGCCTTGCCTTAGTTCTTTCTCATTATTTGACTCAGTGGGAGCAAATACAGGCTAAACAGAAGTGGTGCAATAATTAAGACTTGTGGGACTCCACATGTCATAGATGTCCACTTAGACTTATGCTCTCCTATACTCACATAATAACCTCTCTTCTAAGTATGAGCTGAACCATTTGAGGACCATCCCAAAAAGCCCGACCCAGTTTTCCAGTCTTTCTAGAGGCATGTTATGATCGAAAGTGTCAAACGCAGCACTAAGATCTAGTGGTACTAGCACTGATATTTTTACAGAATCAGAATTTAAGTGAATATAATTTATTATCTTTATGATTGCTGTCTCTGTGATGTGATGCTGTCAGAAGCCAGATTGAAAATTGTCCAGGTATCCATTTGTGTTTAAGTAGTTGTTCAGCTGAAACATTAAAAACAACCTTTTCAAAAATCTTGCCTATAAAAGGAAGATTTGATATTGGTCTGTAGTTGGTCAATATGGTGTTATCAAGCTCTTTTTCTTTTTTTTTTTTTTTTGGTTTAACAACTGCAGTTTTCAGGGAGTTTCGAAATGTCCCAAAAAGAAGTGACAGATCTGTTTCTAAACAGTTAAACACCATTTTGAAAAAGATGAGGGAGGTGTGTCAAGGCAGCAGGTTGACGATTTAAGGTGCTGAACTATTTCTTCCAAAAGTTTGCTATCAACTTCTTCAAAAACATACATAGTAACTTCTTTTTGAAATTGTGGTCGAATCTGTCTGACCTCTGCATAACTTGAGGATGAGCTAATCGCCTTTCTAATATTACTAATCTTCTCAGAAAAGAAGGAAGCAAACTCATTGCATTTGCAGTCAGAGAGCATTTCACTGGGAATCTGACATGGGGGGTTTGTTAGTCTCTCAACATGATCAAAAAGAGTACGAGCGTTGCTTAAGTTATTGTTTATAAGGTTTGAGAAGCAGCTTTGTCTAGCTAAGCCTAGTCCCACATTGAAAGCATGAAGGCTGTCTTTTATAGATGCTTTCTTATTGTGACTTTCAAGTTTCGTCTTCCACCACATCCGCTCATCTAGATAATGTTGTTGCTGTAAACATACATGAAGTATGACAGACAAATAAAATAAGTGTATTTTTTATTTTACTTAGAAGCAATGTAACTGTTAGACTTTTGTGTGTTCATAAACCATTTCAAAATTAAAGGTGTAATTTCATGAGACTTTAAAATTGCAGAATAGATAATAGCTGAAATATGTTTCTTGCAATGAAAACCCCTGAATACGTCCTGTAGAAACTGATGTACCTTTTACATCATTGTTTCATCTGTACTACATTTTTTCATGACTTCACATTTGCTGGGATTTGAACCCCACCAGCAGTCAAACTCATGACAGTTTTCTTTACAGATGGTGCAGGTCGTCGCCTTCCTGTGCTTCCATGACTTGCTCTCTATGGGCACCTTCTCCTTGACAGTCTTTTTTACTGTAATTCTAAAGTTTGAATGCCTATCAATCTTTTCCCTGTTTTGTCTTATTGCCTCCTGAATCTGAAGTTTTTCAGACTTTGATTCTTTCTCTTGAACTCGCAGCTGGAAGTTGCAGATGGATGCTTAAAAACGAATGAGCTCAATCAGGACATCTGAAGTCAACTCTAAACAACTTCTGCTCATTTCATTCAGAGATTGAAGGAAATACTTCATGCCGTCTACACTGTCTTCCCAGGTGTCTCTTTGAGCACGAATATGACGTTCTCTAGCGTGACGTTCTTCAGCCTGTCGATTGTTGAATAAGAAATAAACAGGTTCACCGCTTTTGTCTTGTTTGCAGGGGATTCTAGCTTTTTTAATGGCTCCGAGTACATTTTTGGGTGGCAGACCATTTTAATTTGTACTTTTTAAACAGGAAAATAATAAAGTAATTCCTAGAAACAATGTTTTAAACCAGGAAATCCTTCTGAATTTGTTAAAGATCAACAGTTTACCTCAGGCCAGGTTAGCCTTTATACAATAATGACATTTTTGTAAAAAGGCTAGCCTGGCTGTGCTTTTTAGATATTATTTTGATCCCTTGAATCAAGTAATGGATAAGAACAATCTCTAACTGCATATTCGAAGGTTCATTCATGCTGTTGTGCCGGAGGTGGTTATTGTTTAATTCCATTGTTGCTGGGGTTAAAAGAAATAGTTCATCCAAAAATGTATATGTTATCATTTAATCACTCTCATGTTGGTTCAATCCTTTATGACTTCCTTCTGTGGAAACAAAGAAGATATTTGAAGAATGAACATTGGACTCCACTGACTTCTATGTTTCCTTTCGTAGACATGCGTGTGTGTGTGGGTGTGTGTGTGTGTGTGTGTGTGTGTGATTGTTTACACATTGCCTAAATGTTTAAGATTCATTTAGTAGCAAAATTTAATCTGTGTTACAGATGGACTGAGTTCTTAGATGAGTCACATATTAAAAACATTTATACTGTTGCTGATTTTGTCTGTAGAGTAGAATCTCCTTTTATGTATAATGTAATATGTCATATATGATTTAGTAGACTCTGTAGTGAAAATTAACCGTTTTCAAAACTCTGGAAATTAAATCTGGTCATTTTTCACAATTTTATGAATTTCAAAACAAGAAAACCACATAGATATCTGCTAAAGAAAGAAAGAAAGTTTAGATATAACTACAATAATATACATTTTACATAAACATTTATACATTTGGCTTTTTCAAAAAAATGTGTTCTTAAAGTGTTTTTTCAAAGTTGTATTTATTTATTTACTTTACTGAGAGAGACTGTAGCTATATTACTTACACCATTCGAGACCATACCATCGTGGAGTTCTCACAGAAAAGCTTTTGTGAAATATCTCAAGGAAGAGAATAATAATATAAACATCTTTCCTGCTCTGTTTTTTTTCAAGTAATACCAGTTTAGTCTGTCACATGATTAAAAGGAATATGAGCGGGAAGGTTATTTAGCCTATCCGTGTAACAATAAAGTTAGTACTCACTTGCCTTTATTCAGCGATTAAGCTTTTATCATTATAACTCAATGAACATACAGAACCATACCAGAAAATTAAAACGTTTAAATAATTTTCCTTCTGCACTTCAACTACCGCAGGCTTCGTAGAGGGAAGGGAGTGGCCTCAAAATTAAAGGGGAATGTCGCAACAACGGGGTCAGTCATATTTCATTAAAACAGTTTTGTGGCTGAAATACAAAGTGCACGGTATATATTTGACAGTATAGAGATTGTTTATGTTGCTAAGGGTGATACAGATGTGATCAGTGAAGCTGTTAGCCAGGTTTTATTGTAATTAAAAAGCTGTTAGGCATGTTTTATCATGAATAAAACATGGCTATTGACCAATCAGCATCAAGGAACGGAACTTTGTGTTTCATGAATTTAAACAGACCCTCAGTGTTTCGTCTACAGTGGAAATAATTTTAATTTAAACTAATTTTCAGTTTCTTTCCTAATGCATGAAACGTTTTCATTTAATATAGTACATTTTATCATTTAAGCAAACTCAAACTTGTTTATTGCCATAAACTTGTAACACAGTATCCTACAACAATAAACATAATACTCATTATAAGTAATAGTACAAAATATCAGGTTTCAGAATCTGATGGTGCAATTTCATATTTTAAGAAAAGTATACATTTTTTATGTAACCTTCATATTACAAAAAGGAAAATAGCTGAATTTTATTTTTTATTTTTTTGGTATAACCCAGGGATTGAAATCATCAGGCATCTTCTGGTTTATAGAAGGTCTGGATTCAATCATTTCCCAGTCACGAAAAGTTTTGTCAGGCCAGCTTTAAGATAACTCAGAGCATCTTTATTGGCTTCATCAGCTACAGCTTTCCTCCTCATCTCCTCCAGCTCTCGGACCCAGTTTTCTTTCCCAGTCTCCCTCACTCTGGGGATGAAGAAGTCGAGATGCTGAAGAGTGAAGGCAGAGTCTGGTTTTAATGCGATCTGAGACAGATGCTTGATGGTCTGGTAAGCTTCAGACAGAAGATTTGACTTATGGTCCTCAATCTCTTTGAGATCTTTCTCAAGATGTTGCATTAAAATTAAAAATGTTTTGGTTTGTTCTTGGGCTTTTTCATATTCCTTTTTTATGGAATCAAATTCCAACTGCATGCTGGAGTTTCTGATGGCGTATTTCTTTTACACCATTCGAGACCATACCATCGTGGAGTTCTCACAGAAAAGCTTTTGTGAAATATCTCAAGGAAGAGAATAATAATATAAACATCTTTCCTGCTCTGTTTTTTTTCAAGTAATACCAGTTTAGTCTGTCACATGATTAAAAGGAATATGAGCGGGAAGGTTATTTAGCCTATCCGTGTAACAATAAAGTTAGTACTCACTTGCCTTTATTCAGCGATTAAGCTTTTATCATTATAACTCAATGAACATACAGAACCATACCAGAAAATTAAAACGTTTAAATAATTTTCCTTCTGCACTTCAACTACCGCAGGCTTCGTAGAGGGAAGGGAGTGGCCTCAAAATTAAAGGGGAATGTCGCAACAACGGGGTCAGTCATATTTCATTAAAACAGTTTTGTGGCTGAAATACAAAGTGCACGGTATATATTTGACAGTATAGAGATTGTTTATGTTGCTAAGGGTGATACAGATGTGATCAGTGAAGCTGTTAGCCAGGTTTTATTGTAATTAAAAAGCTGTTAGGCATGTTTTATCATGAATAAAACATGGCTATTGACCAATCAGCATCAAGGAACGGAACTTTGTGTTTCATGAATTTAAACAGACCCTCAGTGTTTCGTCTACAGTGGAAATAATTTTAATTTAAACTAATTTTCAGTTTCTTTCCTAATGCATGAAACGTTTTCATTTAATATAGTACATTTTATCATTTAAGCAAACTCAAACTTGTTTATTGCCATAAACTTGTAACACAGTATCCTACAACAATAAACATAATACTCATTATAAGTAATAGTACAAAATATCAGGTTTCAGAATCTGATGGTGCAATTTCATATTTTAAGAAAAGTATACATTTTTTATGTAACCTTCATATTACAAAAAGGAAAATAGCTGAATTTTATTTTTTATTTTTTTGGTATAACCCAGGGATTGAAATCATCAGGCATCTTCTGGTTTATAGAAGGTCTGGATTCAATCATTTCCCAGTCACGAAAAGTTTTGTCAGGCCAGCTTTAAGATAACTCAGAGCATCTTTATTGGCTTCATCAGCTACAGCTTTCCTCCTCATCTCCTCCAGCTCTCGGACCCAGTTTTCTTTCCCAGTCTCCCTCACTCTGGGGATGAAGAAGTCCAGATGCTGAAGAGTGAAGGCAGAGTCTGGTTTTAATGCGATCTGAGACAGATGCTTGATGGTCTGGTAAGCTTCAGACAGAAGATTTGACTTATGGTCCTCAATCTCTTTGAGATCTTTCTCAAGATGTTGCATTAAAATTAAAAATGTTTTGGTTTGTTCTTGGGCTTTTTCATATTCCTTTTTTATGGAATCAAATTCCAACTGCATGCTGGAGTTTCTGATGGCGTATTTCTTGTTTTCTTTGACGTGTTTGCTGTGATGACACTTCCCTGTGCACACAGTGCAGAAGCCTTTTTTCATGACTTCACATTTGCTAGGATTTGAACCCCACCAGCAGTCAAACTCATGGCAGTTTTCCTCACAGACGGTGCAGGTCGTCGCCTTCCTGTGCTTCCATGACTTGCTCTCAATGGGAACCTTAATTTTGTCTGTCTTTTTTACTTTAATAGTAAAGTTTATACTTTCCTCAACCTTTTTCTTGTTTTGCATCATTGCTTCCTGAATCTGAAGTTTTTCAGCCTTTTTCATCTCTTTCTCTTGAACTCGCAGCTGTAAGTTGCAGATGGATGCTTCAAATCGAATGCGCTCAATCAGGACATCTGAAGTCAGCTCTAAACTTCTTCTGCTCATTTCATTCAGAGATTGAAGGAAATACTTCATGCCGTCTACACTGTCTTCCCAGGCGTCTTTTTGAGCACGAATGTGACGTTCTTTAGTGTGACGTTCTTCAGCTTGCCGGTTGTTGAATAAGAAATAAACAGGTTCGCCATTTTTGTCTCGTCTGCAGGGGATTTTAGCTTTTTTAATGGCGCTGATGACGTTTTTGGGTGGCAGACCATCAGAGTGTGTGATAAAAAACACAATGTTGTTCACAATGTCTTTTCCAAACAAAGACAGAATTGAACTGATAATGTAATGCTGTCTGTCTGAGAGACGATTCTTAGACGCTTGAGTCACGAAGCAGACGGCGTCGACTTCACGAACTCCATCATTGCTCTGAAACAGAGTGGCTAAATTCTCAGCAACTTCCAGATCTTTGTCCAGTCCTCGAGTGTCTCCGTAGCCTGGAGTATCAATGATGGTGAGAGACATGGGATTCTTCACAGGAAAGATCTCATACATGGTGATTTCAGAGGTTTGTGATTCTGATTGATCTCTGGTTTCTTCTTCTGTGATTTCATTCCATATTTCGTTCTCAAACGTCACATTCAGTAAGTAGTTGACCATTGTGTTGATGATGGTGGTCTTACCAACGCCAGTCTCTCCCACCAGCAGAATGATTTTGTTTGGTTTGCTGGCATCTATTTTCCTATAAGTCCATTTTCTGACTTTTCCATTTTCATCAAGAACTTTCCTCTCTGTGTGTAGACGGAATCGTTTTGGAGAACCTCTTTGAAGCAGAGATGGTCTGCGTGGTGGCAGCTTCGGCTTTCTGTAAAATGAAAATAGAGGCAAATATTTATAAGAGTGTTTGTGAACAAGAAATTAAGTCTAATTGCCCAATAACCATTTTGTGATTATTTAAAATGTAAACATTTAATTCATAGTTTTTGAGCGAGAACATAATATTCTAATTACTAGAAACAATGTTTTAAACCGAGAAGTCCATCCAAATATAGTCAGTATGTACAAGTTCAACATATACCTCCAGCCAGACTAGCCTTAATACAACATTCTTGTTTTTGTTTAAAAACACAATTACTCAAATAATCCATAAGAACCTTCTCTTACCGTATATTGGGACCTTCATTCATACTGCTGCTGCGCTGACAGCGGTTTCTGGGTAAATCCATTGTTGCTGGGGTTAAAATGTTAGTCTATCCTAAAATGAAAATTGTGATTTAATTTACTTTCCCTTATGTCGTTCCAAACCTATATTTGCTCTGTGGAACACAAAAGAAAGTATTTTAAAGAACTTTGGAAAATAACCAAAGAGCACTTTGCCCCATTGACAATCATTGTATGGACCAAAAAAAAAGACACATTTCTCAAAATGTAGTCTTTTTTGCCTAATTCTGAGGTTATTTTTCTACTAATAAATCTAGTTGCCCTTCTTAGTCTATTTTGTGTAGTAGTCCTCATATTGCCTAATTCTTTGATTAAAGATTGGGTTAGCAAAAATCAATCTTTGTTACAAGTGAATCCAGGAAGTAAATTAGTCACATAATAGAAACATTTACACTTTTGCTGATTTTGTCTGTTGAGTTGAATCTCCTTAAATATAAAGAATATATAGTTTTGCAGCCTGTATGGTGATATATTTTTTTTGGAAATTCACAATTTACAATTTTCAAAAAAAACAATCCATATAGATATCAATTCAACTTCTACTCAACTAGCTTGCATAAGCCAAAGAAAGAAAAAAATAAATATATTTCACATAAAGAAAAGTATATTTAGCTTGTTTTAACGTGTAAAAAGACAGTACAAGTCATTATAATCAGTAATTATGTCCCCACTGGATGCAACAAATGCCTCCTTTACAATGGATTTTCATGTTTTTGAATCATCGCTCTGGCCGGACAGGGCATCATCACAATGTGGTAAGGGGCTTAACATTTCCGTCACACGCTTGAGGCATTCGGCCAATCACAACGCACTGGATAGCTGGCCAATCACAGCACACCTCGCATTTTCAGACCAATGAGCTTTGTAAAAATCGACGCGTTTCAGAAAGGCGGGGCATAGAGGAGAAACAATTACTGTATGTACAGTATGTGGAAAATAATGTGTTTTTTGAACCTTAAACCGCATAAACACATTTCATTACACCAAATACACAAAATAATGTTCTTTTTAGCAGCATCATATGACCCCTTTAAATAATATTCACTCTGCACTTCAGAAACTGTGGACTTCCACACGCATGCACGCGCACATCAACGTAGCTGTTTCTCAATACCAAGTACACAAAGTTGGGACTTACTCCGGTAATTCTGCAAATGGAAGAGCAGCGTATACTTGATAACGTCAGTCAGCTCGCCTTTCCGGTTATCCTCACTGTATGTATATTTACAATGAGATGAAATATGATAGGCTATCAAACACCACTGCCTCTTTTCGTTTTCATTTAAACATATTAATAGCTGCAAAAATGTAGTTCAGGGAACGTACATGGGTCATTCCAAATAGGAGTTCCCCACATCTTTTCTAAATGTTCTAAATAGGCTACCCCACATCATTATATCAAACCTCCAAAAATCATATTTTCCCACCTTTTTTTTTTTTTTCAACCCCATAACGGACAAAAATTGAATTGTTTTAAAAAGGATTTTACACAGAACTTGTTATTAAACAAACATCTCCCCATTGCTCATGCGTCCCTCATAGCAATTTAATGATAACAAATGTAACATTCATAATAATTTTTAAAGTTCTTTAGGACTGAAGTTAAAAATACTCAAATTGTGTGTCTATGGTCTCTTTATTTTTGTAAAAAGAAAAAAAAAATTTATTTAGAAGTTTAACTAAAACCACAATTGTATTGTTTTAGTCCTTAACATGTCAGATGGTAATCAGCAAGAAATGCTTTCATTCTTAATTGTCTTCCCTATATATATATATATATATATATATTATTATTATTTTTT